TTGTTTCCCCCTCTTGGTCTTTGATAGTATTATCTCTTTGAGTAATAATATCTTCTTGATCTTTTAATTTTTTGTCTCTTTTCTTGTTCGGTAAAAATTTTTTCTGGTTCTAAAATTTCTCTTTCTCAGTCTTGTTCGTTGGAAAAATAAGGGGCTATCATGACAACTCCAGTACCATAATCACCAACCACAAAATTGGTTATCCAAATCGGTATTTTTTCGTTTTCTTGTTCCTCAAACTCTTTAAAAAAACTCTTTTGCCAAACTTTTTTTAGTGGATTAAAACAATAACTACCAGTAAACTGACCGGCAATCTCTTTACTTTCTTTATGCTGGCTTCAATAAGCACAAAAATCGGCTACTTTTTTTTGGTATTCTGGTAGAGTAATTTCAGAAACTAAAGGATGGTTAATTGATAAAGCAATCGCTACTACCCCAAAAATAGTGTCTGATCGGGTTGTGAAAACTGGGATAGTCGGTTTTTTTTCAGCCACTGGAAAATTAATAATAGTTCCTTTTGATAAACCAATCCAGTTAGTTTGTAAAGTTTTAATGCTTTGGGGTCAATCTAAATCTTTTAAACCGGTAAGCAGTTGTGGAGCATACTGAGTAATTTTTAAAACCCATTGAGGAATTTTTTTTTCTACTACTGGATAATTTCCCCGTTCAGAAACTTTTTTACCTTCTATATTTTTTATTTCCTCATTTGCCAAGACTGTTCCTAGTCTTTCGCACCAATAAACCGGTATTTCTTTGTGCTCGGATAATTCTTCTAAATATATTTGACGAAAGATCCATTGAGTTCAACGGTAATAATTAGGGTCACTAGTATCTATTTCCTTACTTCAATCATAAGAAAAACCCATTTTTAATAATTGCTGCTTATAATTTTCAATGTTTTTTTGGGTAAAAGTGGCGGGATGGTTATTAGTTCGAATAGCATATTGTTCGGCCGGCAGTCCAAAAGCATCCCAGCCAATCGGCATTAGGACATTATATCCTTTTAGGCGATAAAAGCGAGCTAAGGAATCAGTGATAGTATAATTACGAATATGACCAACATGTAAACCGCTTCCTGATGGGTAAGGGAACATAGCTAAAATGTATTTTTTTGGCTTAGACTTGTCCGTTAAATCAGTAAAAAAAGTTTGATTTTTGGCTCAATACTCTTGCCATTTTTTTTCAATTTCTTGGTGCGAATGACCCATATTATTGTTTTTTTACATTGATAATAATAAAGTATAGAAACTACTCCAGCAAAAGGTGTCAAGTCTGATGCAAAATGGTAAAAATAAATATATAATAAACAATATATGCCTATGGTCAGAAGAGAGAGAAAATATCTAATGAGAATATAAAACTAAAAACAACTACTACTTATTAGATATATATTATAATAAATTTTTAGTAGTTGTCTAGTAATTGCTAAACTAGTTAAATTAGCAAAATCAAATAAATTAAAAAATAATAAAAAATATAATAAAATTATGGCAATAAATTACAAAATCAAACTAACTAATAATAAAACTGATTTATTTGGTGCTACTACTGGAAATATAGTGGATGACTTGGACAAAGTTGCTAATGCTTTGGGAATAGGCAAAGATAAATGTGCTGAAACCATTGTTGGAATTAGAGTCAAAAAGGCATTAGTCAGAGGAGGAGATGTTATTGATGGCATAAAGTTCATTTATTTGGTAGAAACCAAGGATAAAAAAATTGATGTTGAAGGATATCAACACGGAGGAACAGGAGGAAGCGAAAGCAATTGAGATTTTGATGATTGACATGCTCTACGATTTTATCTTTATTATGGAAGTTATGACAATAGAACAGTGATAAAGTTTGTAGAGTTCAAATCCACTTATTTAGCATATAATTACAACATTTGAGCTCCAAGTAAAGGAAAGGCTGAGGGAGAGGGAAAGGAAATAATCACTCCTGCTTGTTTCTTTTCGAGAAATAGTGGAAATTTGTTAGGAGCATTGGGTGCTTATAAAGGAGAATTATATGATGCTGATTTACAAAATGCTCAGAGTGATTTAAGCACAACTAAGGATAAATTGGATAAAATAACTGCTGATAAAAACCAATTAGAGCAAGATAAAACCAAGGTAGAACAAGAAAGAGATAATTTAAAAACTTCTAATACTGAAAAAGATAATGCTATCAATTCTTTAAATAGTAAAATTACTAATTTACAACAAACTGTTAATAATCAAGTAAGTAACGAACAAGTAAGTAATTTAAATCAACAATTAACTTCCTTAACTAGTGAACTAAATCAAGTTAAACAAGAAAAACAAAATCTTGCTTCTCAAATAACTGATAAAGACAAAAAATTAAAAGATCAAGAAGATATTATTACTCAAAGAGATAATACTATCAAAGACCAAGAGGGGGAAACAACTAAAAAAATTGATACTATCTCTGAACTAAATAAAGAAGTTCAAAAACTAAAAGATGAAATTCAAGCCTTAAAGGAACAAAACTTACAAACAGCCCAAGTAGTAGTAGATTCTGATAAGTAGAAAGTAGGTATTGGGAAAAGTAGTGTTAGTAATGGAGGGGGGAATTAATTTGTTTTTTATCTCTTTGATTCGCAGTCCACATTATTTAGGGGGACGTTAATTATACAATTTTGTGCTAAATGAAAACTATACCAAATTCAAAAAGCACAAATAAATGTAGGAACAATTTCTACTATCCTTTAGTTCTAATTCTGGATTTTCAAAGATGACTATCAGTTCTTTTTTCTCTCCAAATTAAAAACATAAAGAAACTAACTACTAAAACAACCGCAACCCCAATCCCGATTTTAGCCGATAAAGATAAAAAAGAATTAGGAAATTGCTGATTACTATTAAAGTTTGTAATCTCTAATTGTTTCAGCAATTGTTCAGTCCGAGATTTAATGGGTAATATACTTAATTTCGAAGGTTTTACTACATTTGCTACTTAGAGGAAGGGGCGTAAAAAAGCATTCTACTTTTAAAGTTTTTTGAATTATTTTCATTTTTTTTTGATAATATCATGATGATTACTCAATCACTTTAAAATATAGTATATAATTTAATGCCTATGGTCAGAAAAGAGAGAAATAGCCAATTAGTATAATTCTGAAACACTGCCTAATTGTCTATATTACTGCTTAATTGCCTTTGTAGTGTTGCAAAAACATTAATAAAAAGAAATACAATAAAAAATAAAATCATGGTAAACAAAACAGAACTTTATCAAACAAGAAAGGATTTAGCGAATGCCAATGTTCCAGTAATTTTAATAGCCGAAGCATTATATAATATAAATTGACTTGCCAAAGATGACTTAACAGGGATAAAAAGTGGTTATAATAGGGATGATTTGGAAAATGCTATACTTAAAGAAGTTTTAAGCATCTGAAAAAACAAAACTTTTAATGCTAATAATATTAAGAACATATTAAACGAAAAGAGCAACGCATACGACACCGAAAATATTTTAAATAGGATAAAAGCGGGGCAAATTGGTTCTGACTGATACAAAACAGGAGAACGAAATAGTGATTTTTTAAAATGGTGGACTGATGAATTGCCAAAATGAAGTGGTACTTTTTGAACTACTAACCCCGATGTAGTTAAAACTTGATATGATAAATTGCTTGCTTATTGGGGGAATAATTTATCCCAACAATTTCCGGGAGGATTAGGAGATGATACATTAGAAGCAGCAAAAAAGAAGTTAGACCAATTACAAACTGACTTAAACACCGCCCAAACTTTCGCCAAAAAATATGAGGATTTAGCGATTTATTGAAAGGATAATTTAAGAACTGATTTAAACAATACACCTTTTCACCCCGACGGATTAAAAGAAGTAAAAAAAACATTAGACCAGTTAAAAGCCGATAAGACACAATTAGAGGGAGAAAAAAACACCCTTAATAAAAACACTGACTTAGTTGATTACTGAAACGCAAATCTTTTAAGTACTTTTAATTCAAAACCTTTAAGTGTTGAAAGTTTAAGATTAGTTAAGGATAAATGAAACCAATTACAAACTGAAAAGTCCAAGTTTGAAGTCCAATCAAAAAACTGACTTGACATTATTTCGGAAAGAAATAAAACTGTTAGTGAGTTAGATGATGAGTTAAGAAACCGGAGCAGTTCTATTGATGAATTGCAAAATATTATAAATGGGTTAAATGTCGAAATTGATGAGTTGACCATTAAAGAAGATAAATTGCAAGAAGAATGAAAAGCAGATTTCTTAAAAGAAGACTTTGGAGATAAATTAGATGTTGAAAGTTTGAAAGCGGTTAGGGAAAAATTAAATATTTTTCAAAAAGATAACAAGGAAATTTACGCTAGAACACAGGAATTAGAGCGAGAAAAAGCAAAATTGACAGTTCAATTAGATGAACTTCAAGGATATTGAGTTCTAAATCTAGTTGAGTTTGGAAAAATTTTAGACCTTGACGGTTTAGCCAAAGTTGTGAAAAGATTGAATGATTTAAGTGCAGAATTGGCAGATAAAAACAATGAAATAGTTAGTTTGGGAGGCAACATTGAGAGTTTAAAAAATCAACTTTCAGAAAAGGAGAAAGAAATAGTTAAAAAAGACTCAGATATTAAACTCAGGGATGAAACAATTGCGGATAAAGAAAAAAATATTCAACAATTACAAAAAGATGTTAATAATAATAAAGATTTGAGCAACAAAATAAAAGAACTAGAAGCCGTGATTGCTCAATCAACAAAAGAACTAAAGAGAGAAACCAAGCAAGAATTAACCTCCTTTTTCCAAGACATGGACATTAGCGATGACGATATTAACGAAAAATATGGTAATAATTTTGATTATGAAACCGTTATTGATGAAAAACTGACCTTAAAAAATAGAATGGATATGAAAAAAGCCTTCAAAATAGTAGCATGTATCTGTGCTACAGAGAAGTTTGAGGAATTGAATAAACCTTATGAAAAAAATCCTGCATCTAGAACAGAACGCTTACAAAGCATGCTGGAAAAAATTGCGAATAACTGAGATAAAACATCATCGTACCAAGAAATAAAAAAAGAAAACAATCCTTTTTACTTGAATAACGTTATCGAAAAACAAGAAGAGTATATGAAAAAAATAGAAGTTTTGTTGGATGAAAGCCAACAGTTACAAAATTTACAACTTCAACTCACTGAATAGTGATAGCAAATACAGAAGGCAAAAAAGTTTTTCCAGAAATATAATAATATGAAAAAAATAATAACAGAACCGAGAAAATTATCAACTTCAATAGATCCTCTTAAAGAATTAGCAACAGAGAAAACTATTTTTTGGATTTTAAAAAAAGAAGGGGGAATTAGAAAAAAAGTAAGCGATTATTTAGATTGATTAAAAAAAGAATATCCAGAAGCAAAAGAGTCAATAGACAAAGTTTGGAGTGATCCAAATACCAAAGAAGATTGAGAAAATTATAATGAAAGCACTTCTAGAGACGATTGATTAGCATTTGTCCGATATTTTACTTTTGATAAGGCTACAATTGAAAAAGTTAAAAAAGGAGCAGGGGAAAAACTAGATCAATTATTTTTAGTTAATGATTCAGATAGTGATACCAAAAAATATTTAAAATCCCAAGCAACAAAAGGTTTGAAAGACGATTTCGCAGTAAATTATAAAGCAGATCAAATTGCCTGAGCAGTGGAACTTTGCAGAACTTTTTATTTAGAAGCATTTCCTAGATATATCGATGAAGGCCTAAAAAAAGAAAACCCTCCTTTGACCTTAAATGATTTGAAAAGAGTAGACGAAAAAGGATTAGAAAAATTCAGACAAGAATTGTTTACTAATTTATACTCCTCTTGAACCATAACTGTTAAAGAAGAAGACATAAATGGTTTGAAAAGGAAATTAATTGGAACTATAACTAAATTTAACGATTTAATACCTGAATTTCAAAATAAAATCATTGGTGAATTAAAGGCAGCCAAGGAAAAGGCTAAAAAAGAAAGTAGTGATGGCATTCCTTGAACTTGAGATTTAACCCCAGAAGAAAAAGATAAAATAGATAAAGCAGCAAATAAGCAAGAACTAGATAACATTGTAGCGAGTATAAAAAGCGAAAGAGATAATATTAGTCCTGAAGACTTAACTAAGGCTAACAATTGAATTAAAGATAACATTTCAAGCAAAAATAAACTAGAAGAATTAATAGTAACTGACGAAGATATTGAAAAAGCATTAGGTTCTCTGAAACTTCCAAAGAATTTTGTAGAAAATGCTAAACAAATTCTTAGAAAGAAAAGAAGGGAACTTACTCCGGAACCAACTACTGCTGAAGGAAAAATTAAAGAACTTTTGATTTGATTTAGGGATAGGGTAAAAGACTTGAAAAAGGGAGATATTACACCAGAAATCACAGAGAAAGAAATTAAAGTATTTAAAGAGTACTATGAGAAAAAAATGGACAAAGTAATACCATTGGTTGAAAAAGCTATAAATGCTGATACTCTAAAGGATTATAAATTGTTGGATGAGGAATGGCTTGACCTGAAAAATAAGGAACTAAACGAAAATAGCAAAAATTATAATTATAAGTTTGATTATTTTGGGGTTTGGAATACGCTTAGAACTCATTTGGAAGAAGCAGAAAGAGTTGCCAAAGAAAATAAATATGATGATTTAGTAAATAAAATAAAGGGCGAGTTAGGACCGAAGTTAGGAAAAGAATTTTTGGAGATATGAGAACATAAAATAGAAGTGAATAAAGAATAATGTTACTTATTATATGACAAGAAAATCATTATGAAGTTGATATCAAAGTAACGATATCACTAGCACAGAAAGAAACAAAATACTAGAAATAGGTTATATTGATGATTCTCCAGAACTATACCTTTCTTCATGGAGGAAGTTGTATTATTATCAGTTAGTAATGGATAGATTAAAAAGTCAAGTAAATGTCTTTGGAAGCATACAAACTCTTATATTGTTTTCTACCCATTGAAACCCTAACTGTATAATAGTCATCAATGGTGATGAAAACTATGGAGTGAATTTATTGGTTTATGAAATGTCTTCAGGCCAAATGAATGAAACCTTAGAAAAAATTTGAATCGATGGAGGATACTCATACTTGTCAAGTGCTAAAAGTAAAGCCTATGAAGTAGAGAGAAAACTAAAAGGAGATAATCCAATTACTTTTTACTATACTCCCGACAGTAGAATCACAATTGGAGCAGAAGACACATGAGATTTTCTTGCTTCGGTATTTCCTTTTACTAAAAAAATCAAGTTACCTTTTCAATCTGCTAAAAGTGCCCCTGATAGTTATGTCAAACCTTTGGATATTGTTAGGGTGTGTGAAAGTGCAGGGGGTCATGGAGTTCACACATGCATATACCTAGGAAACAGAAAAGTTGCCCATAATTTACCCAGTAGTGGTGTTAGAATTGATGATTGAGAAAACTTCACTAATTTTGGTTCCTATGGAGAAAGGAGTTACGGTGTAATGGTTCGTTACCATCCCATTGTTGCTTACAAGCATAGTGATAAGATAATTGAACACATAGCCAAAGTTATGGGTGGTGAGTTTGATATACACAAAAACAACTGTGAAAGTTTTGCCAACAAATGCGTGCACAATTTAGATGTCTCTGAACATATGAGTAGAATGAACGGTAAATGTGTCACAACAGTTGAACGCAAAGTAGTAGGCAATAAAATCTCAGAAAGAATTACAACCTCTTGTGGAGGGGGAGTTTTTTTGTCGTGCCCTTCTGATGCTTTTACCTCAACGGAAGAATTTGACCGACTTTCTCGTAACTATTATAAAGAGAATGAGATAAAGGGTTACGTGCAATCTTCTTCCCATTTTGAGGGTATCAAGTTAGAAGAAAGAATAGAAGTTGCTCCTAAGTCAAGTTATAGGATAAACTAATGAAATTATCGAAGGAAGAGAGAGAAGTAATAATCAAAAGAGTTAAAAAAGATAGAAAAAAGTGAAGAATTGAAAAAATTCTTACTTTTGATGGATATTTTGGTAACGAACCATATAAGGAGTGAAAAGAGTTTTTAATAAACAGTGATACTAAATTAGAATATGAAAAGGATACAATTTTGGCAGCAAAAGGGGAACATTTAATTATTGTTGAAGATAAAATGTATGGTAAGATTGATTTCTCTGCTGATGAATGAAAAGAGTTAGAACAAATATTAAAGCAAAACAACGACAATAAAGAAGTTTCCTCTAAAAATTCTCCTAACTTTCCCTCTGGAAAAACAATACTTTGAATAGGCGTTGCTTCATTAATTGTTATATTAGGAGTTGCTGTTATTGTAAAGAAAAAAAGAATTAAACTAATTTAGTACAATATTGTATTTTGTCAATGCAAAAAAACTTTTCTACCAAATAATGCAGAACTTTCCCATCTGATTGCTTAAAATAGTGTTAATATAACATTTTCAAAACTATATGACTACAATATTTATCCAAGAGAAAGTTAAAAATAATCAGTTAACTCTAAAAGCCGTTACTAGTAAGGACGAATTACATCCTCTAATTGAGAAAAAAGAATGAAAATCTACCCTTATTTCAGAGGAAAAAATTTGCTACTTGTATGTTAAAAAGGAGAATGAAGATTATAATTTTTCTCGGATTTATGACTATTTTGCCAGTTTTGCCAAGAGTAATGAAAGAAGTTGAAATATTGACATTCAATCATTTACTAGCAAGAACCTGTCCGAAGAAGTGGTAATTAAAGCCATTAGCGAAGGCCTATTATTTGGTGGTTATAAAACAATAAATTACAAAGGACTAGAAAAAGAACAATAATTCATATTTTTTACAAGTCTATTTTAAGGTAAAAATGTATGGTAGAGCGAGAATAAAACATTTTTGTCTAATAGGAATTGATAAAGCAAGAAAAGAAATTGAAAGACAAAAATTTTATCTTGCTATTATATATTATAAAATTATATTAATGATGAAAAAGTAGCAGAAAAAGTTTATAAAAAATATTTAAGGGTTCTTATTAATCCCTCTTTCCTTTATCCGGAAAAGAAAAGTAAAAAATATCTTCACACTTTCACAGGGAAAGTTTTGGAAGCATTGCTCCAAAATTAGTAGTGAACTTTACCGGAAGTAAAACAGGGCAAAGTTAAGTTCTAATTGGATTTACCAAGGATTTATTAAAATCATGGTAATCCTTCGGAATAATCCGAAAGATTTCTTATCAGTTCCACTATTAGAACTTAAAGATAAAAGAACTGATATAAGTAAAAACTTTTTTTACTAAAAAGAGAGAACTAGTTTAGTTTCGGACAGTATATAAGTCCCTAGGGAACTCTCAGTAAGTTAAAAAAGAAATTCCTAAACTGACTTATAAAAACAAATAGTTTAGGTTCTGAGTTAGCACAGTTAGATTAGGATTCTTTGAATTCTAATGAATGCTAATGCCACGCTACTGAGGCAAGAAGTAGTAAAATATTTAGAGGAATATGGCACATATATTCGAAGAAAACAATTTTAAAAATCATTTAAGAAATAATGCAACAGAAAGTTGATTTAGTCAGAGTAGTTCGAATGTTAGATATGAAAATTCAAATGGAACTTTTAGTGCTAGTACAAATAGCCAAAATACCGTTTGTCTTAATTTTCCTTTAACTGATCCATCCCAAATGAAAACAAATGAAAAGGTTGGAGAAGCAATTACAGGGACAGAAGCGGGGGCAGCCGCTATTCTTTCGGGAGTATTAGCACCAATAACTGCCGGAGGAAGTTTGGCTCTTGGAGCAACTGCTATTGGGGCAGGAGCAGGAGCAAAATTTATTGATAAAAAAAGAAAAAACCCCGAAAATGTTTACTTTACTTTAAGTGCTGTAAGTGCTGACGGGAGCGAATGAGTAGCCCAACAGGTTAATGTAAATGAAGTTAAACAGGTAGCAGAAAATATTGCTCGGTGAAGCCATGAGGTTTATCAAGAAAAGTTTGCGGTTCAAACTGAAATTCAGCAAAGTTAATTTAAAAGATTAATGAGTAAAAAAAACTTGGCAAATTATTTAAGGGGCTTTCGCTCCTTTTGTATATGCTGTTAATGGTGAATACACTTTTAACGGGTTTTATCTTGGACGAACCTGCAAGGAAAATTTGCTGAATTATTCTTTTTTCTCTACAAATCTTAACTTTAATGATAATGTTTTACTTATGGCTTATTTCTGATTAAAAAGATGAAGGGGCTGATGCAGGAATGGAAGAGACTATAAAAAAAGAGTAGTAGGAAAATAATGAACTTTAAAAAAGAAAGGCTTGCGATGCTTTTTGAAAAAAGGGCAAAATAGAAAAAAGTAGACTTAAATATCATTTCGCTATTACCCTAAATCCTTTTCATTGATTACAATCTTTTTTAGCAGCGAGTATGGTTTTTAGTCTAGAAAAGGCGGTGAAAGAAGGAAATTCTTTGAGTTTCTTTTTTTTGTTCTTCCTTGGAATGTTATCGGTGGTTAACTTAATTTTTATTTTCTATCAGTGAATGAAATTAGAAAAACTTTCAAGGATGATAATTAAAATTGACAGGAAAATTGCTGAGGAGTTAAGAAATGAAGATTATGTTCCCAATGAATAGACAGAAAATAGTTGAATTATTTCATAGGAAATCACTAGTCGAGCGAAAAAGAAATGAATATGCTGATTTAATTTATTGATTACGTGTTTATGTTCCTTGATTTACTAAAACTGGGGATGATTAAGTTATGGAATAAGGTTAAAGACAAAGCGAGAATAAAAAATTCATTTCTTTTTAAATTGCCTTTAAAAACAGTTGGCTAACTCTCTAAAAGTTAGCATTTTAAAATAATCAGAAAAATAATATGAAAGTAAGTAAATTAATCATACCTTTATTGAGTTTAAAAAATATAAATAGTGCTAACAACCAAATAAGTCAGGCAAAGGTGATAAAATTAGAAAAGGAAACAAATCCTGTATTTTACGAGTTGCGGCTTGCTCGGATTTCTTATGCTGCGTGTATGGGTGCTAGTGACACAATTAGGAATTATGCTTAAAATATCATTTCGACTTAAAAAGTCAGATGCCGAGCAAGGCAATTTAGAGTATATTTCTATCAATGACCCCAAAAAGGTTTTAGAAGGTAAATTCAAAGACATGTATTCTTGCGAAACTTACCTATCAGATAGAAAAAAAATGTTTCCGGTTTACGCCTGTAATCCTATTGACGCAATTTTTTATGCTTCTAATTTTGCGAGAATTCATCTACAAAATATTACTAAACAGGGCTATAAAATTAGTGAAAAAGAAAGCGGTGAAACTTAGAAAGAGGCGTGAACGCTAGAAAATGGAGAGCCGCAATTGATTTTGCGAGAAAGGATAAAAAAGATAAAAGCAGCAAAAGATATTCCTCCTGAAAGCAAGCAAAAGATATTAAGAAATTTGAAAGAAAGTTTTGGAAAAGTATCGCACATTAAGGAATGTTTGGGAAGTTAGCATTATAAAAAAAAAATTAGGGGGTATTAATGCTCCCTCCTAATAATTGAAAGTTAAAGCATTGAATTATTTATGACAAAGAAAATTAATGTTTTACAAACTGGTAATATTTACTTTTTTTACCGTCCGAAAGTAGCGGATAATCGGGGAGTTCAACGACTTTTTTTAGTTCTTCATTCCCATTCACTAAATAAATATTATTTATTAATTATTGGTAAAAAAAGGTTACCGACAGCAAATGAGGGAAGTTATTTTGCTTTTGTTGAAGCAATTAAAAGAGAGAAAAATGACTTGCTTCTATCGCTAAATGAGAAACATTATCCAACTAAAACTCGTGGAGAGAGAGTATTACCAGTTTCCCACTGTTTAGGTATTGGAAAATTCCTTTTAGTAGAACACAATAATCATACCCATCTGGTTTATCGGTTAACCAACCCAAAAGTTATCAAGTCGGTCCACGAAGAGTTTAATTTACAAAAAGAAGATGATTATTTGATTAGTGTTAAAAATCCTCAAGTCGGCACCCCAACTGGGATGGGATTTGGCGAAAATAAAAAAGTTAATTATCCCTCTACTCTTCAAAAAAAATTTGCTAATTATCGCTTTATTCCTCTTACTTCCTCGGAATTTTTAGACTATGAAGGAACTGAGTTACTCTTAATTCCTCAAAAAAAGGAAAGTTTAGTTGCAAGAGAAAAAGAGGCGGAGCAATGCTTAGAAAAAATTAACTCTGACGATTTATTGGACGAACTTGCTAAAATAGTTTCGCCAGAGGTAATTGCTCCGATTGAGGATTAAAATAAACAATTATGAAAAGTCATCGATGCAACTTATATCCCAGTAAGACCTGTTTGGGAAAAATCAAAGGAAAAGTAGTGGAAAATCCCATAATAACTTTTGACAAAATTGACAAAACCGATGAACTATGTCTAAAAATAAGAATTAACAAAACAGCCAAGGAAGTTAGAAAAGGAATAGAAAACCAAAAACCTTATCTTTGTTACATAGGTCTTGAAGAACATGGCAAAAAAATATTAAAAAGTTATAAAACTAAAAAAAATCAGAAAATTGTAGTTCCTCAAAAAGGAGAAACATACTGATTTTTCCTACATCTAGGCAAAAAAAATTACCAATGAACTCATGATTGGCAATTAATAGAAAATGAATAAAGAATATTATTTAGTAACTAAAAATAGAAAATCTCAGGAAATATTAGATAACTCGGTTTTGAAATTAGCCGCCGTTAATTGGGCTCGGGATTTACAAGATTCTCCACCTAATAAATTGCATGCTAAAGAGTTTGCCGAGCAAGTTAAGGAAAAGTTTAGTAGGTTTAAAAATGTTGAAATAGAAATTTTGGACAAAAAGGCCATTGAAAAAAATAAAATGGGTTTGTTGCTAGCAGTTAATGCTGGAAGCCACCACGAACCACGAGTAGTAATTCTGCGTTATTTTGGCGATAAGAAAAATAAAAAGAACATTCTTGGACTAATCGGAAAGGGAATAACTTTCGACAGCGGAGGGTATAATTTGAAATCTTCGACAGCCTTGGAAACCATGAAATTTGACATGTCTGGGGCGGCTGTAGTTTGTGCTTCTTTCCTAGGTTTAGTTCAGAAAAAACCAAGAATAAATGTAATAGCAATTGCCTGCTTAACCGAAAATGCCATTGGCGGCCACGCTACTCTTACTGAATCAGTAATAACTTCCATGAGTGGAAAGACAGTTGAAATTAACAACACTGATGCCGAAGGTCGCTTGGTTTTGGCAGATGGAATTACTTATGCTATTCAAAAGGAAAAAGTAAACAAAATAATTACCGTTGCCACTCTAACAGGGGCTTGTGTTTTAGCCTTAGGAGAAAATACTACTGGAATTATGACTAATAACCGCGAATTTTACCGGCAATTTAGTCAGGCGGCCCAAAAGGCTCAAGAGCAGATTTGAGAATTGCCCCTCTTTCCAGAAAATACCAAGAGTTTGAAAGAAAATACTACTATCGCTGATATCAGCAATATTGCCGGCACTAGATACATGGGGGCCTCGAGTGGAGCCGCTTTTTTACAGGAGTTTGTGGAAAAACTACCTTTTATTCATTGTGATATTGCTGGAACGGCTTCAAAGTCTAAATCCAAGCGCGGGACCGGAGTCATGGTAAGGACTTTGATAGAACTAATTTCTTGTTAGCATTTAAATTATATAGAACAAATTCCTATCCCACTTGCCTCCTCTATTAATCACTCTTTATATTTGATTAAACTAAAAACTTTAAAATAGATAATAATTAGCGAAAAAAATATATGCCCTTTTTTTTAATCACCTTCTTAGTCAGTGCCTTCACTATAATCCTTACCTGAATTCCTGCTTTAGCTACCACCAGGATAGGTCTAACCGATATCTTTCCATATATTTATAAAACAGCCAAAGAAAAACTAGCAGGTCAAGGATTATCAATTTTTGCTTTTGCTTTCTTCTTATACGCTATTTTACAGAGTCAGGCCTTTCAGGCTCTGTTTGCTTCCAAGAGAAAGTGATTAGAAAAAAGAAAATACTTTACCATTGGTTTAATTACAATTGTAGCGGCCTTAATCTCTTCCAATTTATCCTGGTTTGACGAGTTTGTTCACTTCTATCCACTGGTTATTCCACTTTTGCTAGCCATGGGATTTGATATTTTTTCCTCTATTCTTTGCCTTTATGGTGGCTCAGTGGCCGGACTATTAGGATTAGTCTCAAGCCAACGAATGAGCGAACATTTTGATGCCTGTTTTAGCGAAGTCCAAGGAAAAATTAATTATAATGGTTTAAGTGGGATAGGCTTTCGTTTTGCTTCCTTTGCCCTCTTTGTTTCAATTATAGTTCTTTTTAATATTTGGTATTGTAGTCGCAATCGGCAGAAAGTCACCACTCAAAAAAACGATTTAGCCAGTCAGGAAACTTCTCCTCGTCTTAATAAGAAAAGAAAATGAATATTAGCGGTAGCAGCATTTTTTTTATTTAGTAGTTTTCTTTCCCAGGTGCCAGCAGTGGCCGATAAATTAGGGTTAGGCAAAGTAGCCGAAAAAGTTCCGGAACATATAACCAATGAAGAAAAAGTATTCGAACACGAAAATTTAGGGAAAGTTGAAAAAATGGAAGTGGCTAAAACCAAAGAAGAAAAAAAAAAGAATTGGGGAGTCTTTGGTAAATGAGAAGAAATGGCGATTAATTGTTGATTGATTATTGGAGGAATAATTATTTGTTTGCTAGCCCGACAAAGCATTATAGGAAACTTAACTACCGCTATCCAAAATGCAATTCCTTTGGTGTTAGTTTATATTTTTGCGGCAGTGCCTGCTACTATCATAAAGAAGTCAGGCATGTCGGAAAATTTAGGGAAAATATTATTACCTGAAACGGCCAAGGGTGCGGGGAGTAGTTTTGCCTTGTTCTCGGTCTTCGGGGTGTCGTTTTTACTGACCTTTGCTGTCGGAAGCACTCCTGCTATAGCTATTGCTTTAGTAACAGCTTTAGCACCAACTTTACTTTCTTTTGGAGAATCTACTCTTATCTATGCAGCCCTGTTTGCTTGATTAGGAGCCCTTATCGGGATGGCTTTCTCTCCTAACAACGGAATTCTCCGGGCCAGTTTAGAAAAGGGTAAAACAACCTATAAACAATTTATTAAGAAGACTTGAATATTAGTTATAATTATGACCTTGGCTGCATTAGGATTAGTTATTTTCTGGGCTAAATTTATGGTGAAAGGATAGAAAATCAAAAAAATAAAAATTAGTATAACAACATGAGAAAACGAAAAGACGAAAATGGAAATTTAAATATTACTTGCGATAATTTAGAGGAATATTTTAGGGAATTTGCTCAATATCGGAATTTACCAGAAGTAGAAAATTGGGTTAAGACCAAAGAGATTCCGCATGAAGGACTTTTAGAAGATTCAATAAATAATAAAATGGTAAATTTTCTAGTAGGTGTTAAAAAAGATGCTCGAAAACTAGAATTACCGGTCGATTTAAAAAGTCAAGAATGAGAATCCCGACGCGAAAAAATCAACAACACTTTAAAAGAAATTTGGAAAACCGGCGAAAATAAAAACCCTTATAATTTGGATTTAAATTGGCCGACTTCTGACAGACAAGATGGAAGTAAAAAAGAGCAAGAAAAAAAAACGATTGAAAAAGCGTTGGCTGGTCCCTTAGTAAAAAATAATTCAGGAGAGAATGCCAAGCAAATACTGGAAAAATATATTGGTTTCCAAAGAGAAAAAGATAAATTTGAGAATTATGTTTACTTATACGCTGCGGTTAAGGATGATAAATTCCATCCAAAGAAGGAAATTATTTGCTATTCGGGAGCACCGGGAACCGGTAAAACCACTTTTGTTAAAACCCTTAAAGATGCTATGGGAGTAGAAATAGAACTAATTTCTTGCACCGGATTAAAAGATTCCTCTGAATTTTCTATTTTAGGCGACGAAAATAAACCTAGTTTGCCAGCCTGAGTAATGAAAAAAAAACGTTGTAAAAATTTTATTATTCTACTTGATGAGGGTGAAAAAGTTCAAGACGAGCAAGTTCAACGGGACCTAAAAAAACTTTTTGAACTCTACTTAAACAAGGAAGGACAGGATAAAGGAGAAACCAAAAGTAAAAAACTCTTTGATAAGTATTACCAAATGGATATCGAACTAGACCATATTATTTTTTTCATGACAGTTAACTATCCTGAGGATTTGGTTCCAACCCTGAAAAGTTTTATGGAAATACGCCGGTTAGAAGATTATTCAGATGAAGAAAAGAAGAAAATATTAAAACTAAAAAAAGAAGAAATCGAAAAAAAATGGGAAGCAGTTTACGGAGAAAAAAAAGAACTAATTCCCAACTCGATCATTGAATTGCTTCCTCAATATATTAGGGAGGGAGGAATACGGCAAACTGAAAGGGTGCTATACAAAATTGAAAAAGAATATGTTAATGCCAAGGAAAAGGGACTGGAATTTTCCTTAGGCGACCCTCAAGAATGATTGAAAAAAAATGTTTTGGCTTACCAAGAAAATTTTTCCCCAGGTTGAAAGCATTATTTTTTGTTTTCATTGTGAGCCATCATTTGAGTTCTCTTGCTAATAGTTATTGTCAATAAAATTATACTAAGAAAGGAAAAGTTAGAAGAAAATTAAGAATGAATAAAGATTTATTATTAAAGGAAGTAGAAAAATTAGAGACTTTTTGGGAATGAACCAAAAAGAATGATAAAAATAACATTAATCGTTTCCCACGAGTCATTTTTTTTGCGGGAGAAGAATACAACCAGGAGTTAGTCCAAAATCAGGAATTACAAAAGAAAATATTCCTTACCGTCGATTTTAGCCAAGTAAAAAAGGAAGATATTCAAAAAATAGAAGAAAAAATTAAGGAAACTCACGATGAATTATGTTTTATTTATGTGAAAGATATTAATAAAGGCATCGACCCTCAGCAAGAAAAAACTTTTTTGCCTTACTTTGACCCTTCACAAGAGGGATCTGGAGTTGTTTTCATTATTACCAGTTCCACTTCAGACATGGGAAAACTTTCAACCCCTTTAACCTCTCGTCTTGATTGTATTAATGCCGAGACTGCTAATCCGAAGCAATTTTTTTTAGATAAATATTTCTATTCTATTTTGATTGCCTCTTTTCTCACTTTTTTAACCTTGATACTATTCCTTACTTATCATTACCGTGGAAGGGAAGAAGTAGAAGAGGCTGGAAAAATGGTGTAAAAAAATCAAAAAAACTCACCTAAACACTTTCAAATATTTACTATATAAAACTATATTAAAGAGAAATAATAATATATGTTACCATGGCCAACAAAATATTTATCAAATATCAAATATTCCTGTGCCAGTAAGGCACAAAAAATATAGAGAGAGTAAGAAAAAAATAGTATAAAAAAAGAAACTTCTCCCTTTCGCACTAGTAGCCTTTATAGACTAGTAGCGACTTTCCTAGAAGTAAAATTGGGTAAAGTAATGTTCTAATTAGATTACTAGATTTTTTCTAATAGTCTTTGGATTTCTTAACCAGTTCCACCATTAGAATATTAAAGTAAAAGAATTGGTTCAGTTGGCTAACTCTGTAAAAGTTAGTGAAATAATAATCAAAAACAATAATTAGTATTTACAGTAAAAATAATGACAGATTTAAGGAAATACAAAATAACGAATATTAGGGTAGAATCAGTCTGGAGAAAATTTGAGTTAGATGGTTATATAATTTATAAAAGCACTACTAGGAATCATATTTATTGTATTAATTGTCGTCCCTTTTCTGAATTTCAAGTGGGAGATTACTTAGAAATTGATTTAGAGAAGACAACACTTTACGAGTCGGGTCATGACTTTAATGAGGTCAGCACAGTAAGAAAAGTCAGTTCATCGGAGGTCATGCCTTCTAGTTCATCAACAGACATGGTTATTGGTTCAACTACTATAACTAGAAATCAAATTCTGGCGATTGGTCGGGAAATAGATGCTTTAATAGACCAAAGTGGTGGACGAAACGAGTATGAAACAAAGGTGAGTGTTGACCCCGATAGTGGCAAATATAGTGGTTTTTCTATAATAGGACGAAGAAAATAAAAAAATTATGAACTACCAAAAAAGTTTTGTTTTAACTAAAATAACAGATATTTTAAAAGAGTTCCAAGAAGGAGTTGATTTTACTATTGAGAGCAAAGAAAAGATTATTTTTCATAATAAAGAAATAGTTAATCGCCTTATGCAACAATGAAAAACAGAGGGATTTTTTGCAGCAGTAGAGGAATTAATTCCTTCTGCTGTTTGTTCTTACGAAGAAAATGGGCGAAAAGCTGCTTTAGTTTTTAAATCTGGAAAAAACAAAAAAAATATTAGCCAAGAATTGGAAAAAAAATTCGAGAGGACTGCCGCTATTAATGTTGTTTATCAAAATAAAAATAATCAAGGAATACATGCCGACAGTGAAAAATTAATCGAAGCAAACAGGGAAAATGCTCCTAACTTAGTAGAGGAAGGAAAAGAGATTAAAAACTCGCCTAAGCAAATTTGTTATCCCTCAGAGAATGAAGAAGAAAAAGATAAAAATTCTCCTGATTTAAAAAAGAGTGAAGAAAAATTAGGAATTAGTCAAAATAACTTGTCTCCTTCTAATTCTAATTTTCCAACTGTTTTAGTAATTGGTGGAGGAATAGCATTAGTAATAGGACTGGTAACGTTATTTACATTAAGGAACAAAAAAAAGAAAAGATTATAGTAGTTGTTAATAAGGGGAGTCTAACCACTCCCCCTAATAATTGAAAAAAATCTTTTGAATTATTAGATTAGAAAAATTTTAACTATCAAGACCCATCTTTTTCTATTATTGTAAAAGAAATTAATTAAAAATACTTTATATGCCGACAATAAAATTTCGTTCAAAAAAATCTCTAAGCAAACGCTTTAAAAATTTATCCAAAGGAAAGTTAAAACACTGGCATGCCTATACTTCCCATTTAGCCACTAGCAAATCCACTAAGCAGAAAAGACACTTACGTAAAAGTTCTTTGCTAGACAATAGCGATTGAAGGCGGCTGAAAAAAATGGTAAAATAATGAATGCAAAGTTAGCCGAACTTTTTTATAAAAAACACCGCCAAGAAAGTAAAAGGGATAGTTTATATAATTATATATTATCAAGTTTTTTTTCAAGCATTTTTTTATTTTTGCTTATCGCTCTTGAACTTTTTTTCCTTTTTTTACACAAGAAAAGTGGATTTTTTAAATGGGGGGTAGAAAGCGAATGGTCTTCTGTAATTTCAACAATACTTATAATGATTAATTTATTTTTTTGATTTTATGGTCTGATTCGAAATTATTTTAACCTCTATTACAGACTTCCCCGCTATTCGGCAAAAATTGCCCAAATTGACCACCAAATTATTGAAGAGTTAAAAATTAATACTTAAAATATTAATAAAAAAAAGGAAGCATGCCTGAGTGGTTTAAAGGGCCAACTTGGAGAGTTGGAGTACACCTTAAGTACCAGAGGTTCGAATCCTCTTGCTTTCGCCAAATAGATTTCTACATTTTTTTTCGCCATAAAAATAAATTATGCCAACGCCTTATGAAATTCTTGAAGTTCCTCCTGAAGCTACTTGAGAAGAAATAAAAAGAGCATACAAAAAGTTAGCCCTTAAATGGCATCCTGATAAAAACAACAATTCTCCCGAGTCTACTGAAAAATTTAAAGAAATTAACAATGCCTATGCACAATTAGACCCCAATTCCGACATTAATGATAATTTTGATAGCGAAGGCGAATTCTCTTCTGAAGAATTAGATAAAATCATATTTGCCTTGGAGAAATTAAAAGCCACGTCTCTTATATATAATTTCCTAGACACCTTTGGATTTGCTATCAATGAATCTAACCTAGACCCTAATCTTTGAACAAATTGGAGACAAAAGTTTGACAATTTTAATACGACCCAGGAAATAATAAATTTCAAAAACCAGTTAATAACTGCTTTAGAGCAAGAATTTAATAATAACGAATCAAACTTTAACCAAGCATTACTCGCCCAGAAGCAAGGAAGGATTGCTGTGGAAGACTATTTAAAAAAGAAAGGTGTCAGCGACTATGATTTAAATGAAAAATTAAAAAAAAGTTCTAATGGTTCGATTACTAATTTCCGAGGCGATTGAATTATTGATGATACCTGAAAAACTATTATTTTTCAATATATTGACCAAATAGTAACTCAAAAAGCAAGGAAAACTAACAGGACCCCGGGAGGACCAAATAATCCTCCTCAACCGACTCCCGGCGGGCCAACCCCACCAGGAAGTCCTCCTGCACCTGGGAATGCTGATATTGACCAGGAAAGAAATAACGCCAAGCAGCAAATTAACCAAGCCTTGCTCGACAAGAAACTTCAAAAAACCGACCTGGAACCCAATTTTCACAACTATGAAAGGCAAATAGACCAATTAAACGACAAGGAACAAATCAGAGATTTTGCCCAACGGATGATTAACAAAATTAATCAGCATCAACCTAGTAACAAACAAAAAAAAGCGGATGTAAAATTAGAGGGATTATCTTTACCAATCAAATTAGCAATCGGGAGTAGTATTTTACTTGTAATCGTAACAATTGCAGTTTTAATAATTAAGAAAACCGCAAGAAAATAAAATATGCTACATTCCCTCGAAGAAAAAAGAAAAATTATTTTGGATAATTACAGTCGCCCTAGCAAGCAAATAGACTTAGAAGAGTTAAAAAAAAAAAGTGAAGACTGACAAATATCTTTTGCTACTTTTCGCAGTTTAGAAGCAGGTTGCGGTGATACTATTCATTTACTAATAAAAAAAAGAGACAATTATATTGAAAAATGTTTATTTTCTGGACAACAATCTTGCTTGATTACCGTTGCAGCAGCCAATATACTATGCTCCTACTTAGAAAAAAAAACTTTCGAGGAAAGCCAAAACATATTAAATAACTGTCAAGCAATGACCGATAGAAAAAAATACAACTTAGATAATTATCCTAATCTACAAGTTTTTAGCGATATATTTAATTATCCTCATAGGATAGAATGCTTAAAAATAGTGCTAAGAGCGATTAATAGTGAACTAAAAAACAAATAAAGAATTAGTAAAATTTCTCTAACAATTGCAACTATTCCTCAAAAATTCCTGAAAGTTTTTGTCCAGACATTAATTCAATAAACGCCTTTTTCTTTAATTTAGTATAAATTCTAGTTGGAGATTTTTGCAAATAGCGAGTTTGCCGTAAAACCGGTTTTTGGCGACTAGTTCTAACGTTTTTAACTTTTACTTTAAACATTTCCTCGAATGCTTTTTTAATTTGAAATTTATTAGCAGAAGATAGAACATAGAAAGAGCAAACCTTGCTCTTATGATAAAGTAATTGACTTTTTTCACTTAAAATTGGTTTTTGGATGAGCATATTTATAATTTATTATTTTTTTTTGAACCAAAGGAATAGATTAATTCTTGAATTTCCTGATTTATGTTTTCTTTTGACATAACTCTTATTATTATAATTTTATATTTATTATCTTTTTAAACAATAATATACAAATTAATTAAAAACTTAATTACTTCTTAAGTGAAACTTCTATTCGAGCCTTTAATTCAGCAATTCTTTACTCTTTTACTTCTCGAAAAAGATTATTACTTTCTCTGCTCTGTTTCAATTGCCATTCTAAAAAAAACAAGTTCGATTTCGTCCGCTTGTAAGTTATTTTCTAAACTCTCTAATTGTTCTTCTAAACTTCATATTCTTTCCCTCCGAGAAAAATTATACTTAATTTCGAAGGTTTTACTACATTTGCTACCTGAAGGAGGAGTATAAAAGCACTTCGCTTTCAAAGTTTTTGAATTATTTTCATTTTTATTGTTGCTCTCTTGTAATTATAAAGTAATTTTTAAATAAACGGGTGAAAAAAAGTTAAACTCTCCGATTTTCCGATAATCTCAATTATTTTTATTGCTATATTTTCAGTCGTGGGTTAGTGAAAAATCTATGACGTTGCTCTTTCTTTTACCTCCTCTTTATTTAATAAACGAATAATTCAATGCAATTCAGGTCCCTTATCCGTTCCAGTCAATACTTTTCTTACCAGCAAGTAAAATTCTTTTTTTGATGCTTGGCTCTTTGAACAAACTAATTTGAGAGTACTTTTTATCCTCTCCGCCTCTCACTCTTCTAATCCATCCAATCCTTTACTTAATTCTTCTAATCATAAAACTTCATTGTCTTTAAGTTCAATTTTTTGATCTGGCTTTTGAAAAAAATAAATGGTTAGATCAATTAACTCTTGAAAATAATTCAATTGAGAACGGAATAATAGAGAAATTTGTTTTACCCATTCTTTTTTTTCTAGTTCTAAGTTATACTTTTCTCCCAAAAATTTTCAAGAATATTCAGCAAATTCTTCCTCGCTTAATTTCTGGATATAATGATTATTGTATCAGTTAAGTTTCCCGATATTATATACCGCTCCGCTAGCGTGCAGTCCTTGAAAATTAAACTCTTTTATTGCCTCATTCAAGGAAAATATTTCTCGGGTAGTAGCACTAGGGCTCCAGCCTAAAAAAAGCAAATAATTAACTATTGCTTGCGGTAAATAACCTTTTTTTCTTAACTGACTAATTAATTGCCATTGATTAGTTTCTAGGTCCCTTTTAGAAAGTTTTTTTCTCTCTCGATTAAGGATTATTGAAACATGTGCAAAATGAGGTGGTTTTCAATCAAAAGCCTCATATAAAACCAGTTGCTTGGCTGTATTAGGCAAATGTTCTTCAGCCCGCAAAACATGACTAATTTCCATGGAGTAATCATCGACAACCACTGAAAAGTTAAGCAAAGGCATTCCGTTACTCCGACAAATAACAAAATCTTCAATGTCTTGTCCTCGGAAATTCACTTGACCCCGCACTAAATCTTTTAATTGATATTTTTTTTCTCGCGGAACTCGGTAACGAATAACATATTCTTTTTGATTTTGAAGCAAAGATTTAATCCTTACTGATTCTAATTCCAAGCATTTTCGAGAGTACTGATAATTACCTCTTTGGTTTTCAACCAAATATTTTTCTCTTTCTTTTTCCAATTCCTCCCGAGAGCAGAAACAATAATAGGCTTTCTTCTCAACTAGCAATTTCTCAATATATTTTTGATAAATATCTAACCTTTCAGTTTGGCGATAAGGTCCATACTCACCTTTTTCGAAAACTGACTCATCAGGTTTTATGCCAAGCCAAATCAGGTCTTGATACTGTTTATTAATAAACTCCTCTTGGTTTCTTACGACATCTGTGTCCTCAATACGAAGAATAAATCGACCTTCATTTTGTTTGGCAAAAAGATAGTTAAAAAGAGCCGTACGGGCTCCGCCAACATGCAACTCTCCTGTCGGACTGGGAGCAAAACGAGTCCTTACACTTCAACTTTCTTTTTTCATGGGCAGAGTTAACGAATTGACTTAGAAATTTTGTTAATTTCCCTTTTAATTTGAAAAATCGCTAGGGCAGCAAAGGACAGAGGAATAAGATAACTAATATTAAGCCAAGCAGCGTAAGTTCCATATTCCTCTTTCACTAACTTTTTCCCTTCAATAAAAACTCTTATTAATTCTGCACTGATTGCTAATATACCAAACTTTTTTAAAGTTTCTTTACAATGCTCATTTGACTCAGTAGCTTTAGTAATTATGTAGTCCTTTTTTTTGTCTTCTATTCCCTCTGCCTTATTAATCGTATAACACATTTGATTAAAAGGAGCTTTAAGCAAAGAAGTAACTCAGCCATCCACACAAAATAAAATTCCTTGGAAAACTATCACACAGATAACTAACAATAAATCTTCGCTGCTTCATTCTCATTTTCTTCTTAAAGATAAAATTTGTGGAGCTACCGCGAAGGCTCAAAACAAATAAGCAATTATATAAATAAAAATTAATCAGAAAAGGATTTTATAATATTCACGGAACTTATCTTTTATCCTCTTAAAAACTTTCTTGTCAAGTTTTTTTCCTGCTAATTTATTATTTTTTTTTTCCTTTTCTACTTTTTTGGTGCCCATACTAAATAGGATAAATATATTTTATATGCTTTTTTAAACTGTGAGTTTTCAACGACCTTTAGTTCGGCGTGCCACAATTACCGAATAATTCTTTTTCATTCTTTTCCGGAATCCATGCTTCCGAACTCTTCTAATTTTGCTGGGTTGGTAAGTCCTTTTCATAACAGATATAATATAAATTATTTAATATAGAAAGCAATCACTAGATGTTGTGAAGACCCTATCGTTTACGAAAAGATTGACAATTTCGGGAAATAATCGAGCAAGAACAGAAAACAATTAATCCTAGTTTTACTATTTTTTTTGCTGCTAACAATCATGATAATTGCCGATTTGGCATTGCCACTCCTAAGAAATTAATTAAACTAGCCGCAGACCGTAATTTTTACAAGCGACAAGTAAAGGGAATGCTAATATCCCACTTAAAATCTGAAGAAAAAAAACAAGCAGATAGTTGCCAGACCAATACCGAGCACTGCCATTCCGATTTGGTCATTATTATCCGCTATCCTTATTTAAAAAATGATTTTGTTACTAACCAAGCAAATCTTTATAAATTACTCGACTTAGTAGAGGAAAGATTAAAAAATTCTAAAGAAAAAGATAAATTTTCGGAAAAAAATTAATAATATATGACGAAAGGAAAAAAAGTTCAATTATTCCAAATAGTTAGAAATATCTTACGAATACTTTGTTTAATTATATTTCTTCACTGATCAATATTTACCAATTACGCTAGTTGCATTAATTACCGTGAAAGCATTATAGAAGAAAACGAAAAACAAGGAGATAGAATAAAAAAACATGACGGAGAAACCGATAAATATAATAAAAATAAGAAACTAACCATTGCGGAAATTGAAAATGAGATACTAAATCAGATTGAAGAAAAATCGGGCAAAAAAGAGTTGCCGAGAAAGTGAAAAAATGAAGAACTACCAAAATTAAAAGATTTAGATGAAGAAATTGAAGGATTAGCAAAAAAAAATGACCTTAGCGAAGAAGATATAAAAACGTTAGAAAGCAAAAGGAAAACCTACGAGGAAAATCTTGAAAAAGCCAAGAAAAAAACTATTGAAAATATTCAGTACCAACTAAAAGAAAATGGATTAACTGCTGCTGACCTTAATGATAATCGAAACTGAAAAGAAAGTTTAGCAAAAGATCCGCTGCGCTTCTTTTTTATCTCTCCTCTCGACAAAACTGCTAAACTAATGGGGCTAAGAAGTTCTCCTGATAACGGCTGGTTGATAGTAGGAGAAATAATTTTTAAGTTAGTGGTAATAAAACTAATATTTAATTTAGTTAGTTTTTGAGAAACTACTGCTGTTCATGAGGGGATGGCAAAAATGCAGAACCCTTATCTTAGTGTAGAAGAAAAAGAAAAAATCCAAGAAGAAATTTCACCTTTGTTTAAATACATGATTTTCAATGGTTTAATGATATTTTTGTTCACTATTGCCCTTCCTTTTATCCATCCTTTCTTTATTGACAAGACTAGTATTTGGTATTGTAAGACGGTTGAATGATACTGATGAGTCTTGCCGAGTTTTATTGCCAGCCTCCTTTCTATTGTTAGCAGCGAGTTTCTTCGACAAGGACGAATATTAAGCAAAAGAGAAATCAAAGATTATTTGGCTAAAAGTTGGGTGATGATTATAATTTTTAATTTGCTTTTCCTAGTCTTAGCTCCTTGATATTTAGGAAGAAGTCAAGGGGTTTATTGGTTTTGTTTCTGTAATGGAATGGTTGATTTTGCGGTCAACCTATTTATTGTACTGATTTCTAAAACGAAAGGCATAGCAAAAAAATACCAAAGATTTTATTAATCTCACTCTTAGTTATTTTTGAATCCATTTTCTAGACTTTTGTTTATCAAGTTCCGAACCTTTATAATTTCTTCAATATTGAATATTTGAAGGATAAAACAAAAAAAATAAAGGAGTGAAAAATTAGGTTTAATAGTTACTATTCCAATAAGTAAGAGATTATATTAAAGAATGAAATAAAATTGGTGCTAATAAATTCCATTTACTTTTTTTATAAATATAGATAAGTCCGAGGCTGACCGCAGAATACTGGATAAATAACACTACAATATTTTCTCCTTGATGGTAGTAAAATAACACGAAAATTAAAAAAGAAACTAAATAAGAAAGAAGTTTTTTTTTTTTTTTTTGAAAAAATGCCAAAATTTCCTTTGTTGCTGGTTACTACTTGCACCAGTTTATTAATTTTTTCTGATTTATATGGGGTGGAGAAGAAAAAAGCAAAAAAGATAAATTTAAGTAAAATGGAATAGGGTAAAGGAAAAAAAGAAATTTAATCACCTGTCAAAAAATTTGTCCTTTTTTCTTTCAAAGTGAATATCAAATCCCTTTTCCTTCCTGTTTGAAGGTTCAAAGAATTACCAAAAAACTAACCAAACGATACCATAAGAAATATTTACCAGATAACTTATTTTGAATTTAGTTTAACCAATCCATCTAGCCAAATTATTCAAGCATCTTAACTTCAATTTCATTTATAGAACAGATATATTACAATGTTAGAATTAAATGTCAGTATTTTTTAGTTCAATTTTAGTCTTTATTAAGTTAAAGGTCAGGGAACTTTTTTTTAAATGTCTCATCTCTCCTCCTAGAAAGAAAATTACGCTCTGATTTTCTACGCTCTAACTTTCCCCATCAGTTTCTTATAAATCTTTTTACACAACCAAGGCAATAATATTCAGTTCTTTCAAAAAGTAGTCTCCCATCTCTTTTTTTATAATGAGTAAAGATTAAATGGATTTCTGTATTAATTGTGGGTCATTTATTCCCATAAAGTTCAACATAAACACTACACGGAGCAACTACTCCCCAAGGTTCCATTTCCATATTGCTTATATTTCCAATTTCGGGTAATTTTTCCAGTTCCCAATATTCAATTTCTCAATTATCGCTACTGTGAAGCCTTTGTGCTTTCAATATGTCGGCTCGTTCTCTTTCCTCTTGTTGCTTCGCAAGTCTCTCATTTGTCTCTTTTAATGCTTCTTTTCTTACTTCCTCCTTTTCTTTACAGTCATAACAACGAAAATCATAAATTATTCGGTCGGTTTTCCCTCTGGCTACTGCTACTAATTTATCTTTATCCAAAATATCTCCCTCGTTTTCACAAAAATTTTGCTGACAGTCCATACAGTAGCAAATAGCACTAGAACCATAAAAAACTAATTCCTTTTTACATTTAAAGCATTCTGTCATAATAAGTTATTTTAATTCTTTTTTTGTTCGTTTTATTCGTTCGTTCTCTTCTTTTAACTGATTTTCAATAGCTTTTTTAGTGTTCTCAATAGTTTTTTTAAGTTCTTGTTTTTTGGCTGGGTTGGTTTCAGCATTAAATTTCTCCTCCGCTCTCTCTAAATTATATCTTAATTGTTCTAATATTGTTTGTGTATCTAAACATTTTTTACATAAAGGATTTTCAGTAAAAAAATATCCACAACCCATAATCACTTCATTGTCAGGGAAGTTCTTATTACACTTTTTACACTTAAATTTTGGTTTCCTTTTAGGCATATTTTCTATATCTCATTCCATATCAGTTAATATTTATCAAAGATTATTTAAAAATTTTTGTTGTTTTTTCTTCAATAAACTAATACTTTGTTTTTGACAACTAATTATTTCTTGTTCCTCCTCCAAATCTTTGACTAATTTCTTTTGAACTTCCAAAGAAGGCACAGAAATTAAAAAATTTTCCACAAATTCTTGGCTAAGCCTTTGTCGCCCAGTGGTTCCACTCATATAATTTTTGCCCTCTTCTAAAAAATTAGAATTTCGCAAGTAATAATAAACTCATTCAATTAAAACTCTTTCTTTGGCTCGCAAAACAATAAATTCTGTGGAACCAAATCCAATACCATTCTTTAAGTCCTTGGCAATACTCATTTTACCATTTTCAAAACAAGGAGTAATTTTAGCAATTAGTAAGTCATTTTCAACAAAATAAGTATAACCTTGATAAACCTCTTCTATTTTTCTTGTTTGTTGTGGATAAACATACAGGGAACATTTTTTAATATTTTCCATTGGTAGAAAAGAAACTTCAATATTTTCTTCGTCTTTTACTTCCAATTTAGAAGGATTTATTAAACAAATATCTCTAATCTTTTTATTCTCATAAGAGAGAGAGAGAGAGAGAGAGAGAGCAGAATCAAGATTATCAATCGTTTGACCAATATTTTGATAATTTTGCTTGATTTTGCTCAATTGTTCAACTGCTTTTCTCTGATTTTCTAAACTAGGAATTGGTATTTGAATTTCTTTCAAAGAATTAGCATTAAATTGCGGTTGAACTGTGCCTTGGGTTAATTCTTTTACTTGGTTTCAATAATCATCAGTTTTAGTAAAGCATCAATAATATTCAGGCAAAACAATTTCTTTATTAAGATTAATCCGAATTAAGTAAGAAGCAAAAATAGATTTTTCTCCATTTTGAAAAATAGTGGTTTTTCCTACTGAACCTATTCGGGCTACAATTAGGTCTTTTACTTTTAGCAAGTATTTTTCTTTATCTGTTTCATTTGTCAAGTCAACATATTTTTTATCTTTTTCTGATATATTTCCATGTTCGTCTATATCTGTAATCCTAATGAGCCTAAATTCTCCTTGTTCGCCAGCCGTAGCAGTATAACCATATTCAAAACTAGCAATTTCTCCTAATTTTTTATACTCAATTGGCTTCATTAGTGAAACAAAAAGAGGAAGTTTAAAATTATCAATTATTTGCTGAGCGTTTTGAATACTTTGGTTTATTTTGTTTAATCCAGCAATAATTTTTTCTTGTTCTTCCAAGGGAGGAATTGGAATTAAATTTTTTTTTAAGTTGTCTAAACTTAAACCAGGAAATATAGTCCCCGAAGATTGGCTCATTAATTTTTTTTTCATTTGGGGAGATTTAAAAATTGCTAATAAAAATCCGGGGAGTATTTTTGTAGTTTTATATTCTGGTTTGACCCTAATAATTGCTAGATGGGAAGAAGGTATTCCTTTTTTTATGGTTTCTGAACAAAGAACCGCCTCTCCCACAGTTCCATCCAAGGTTATAAGAATATCATCAATTTCTAATTTGTTTTTAATTGTTTTAAATTTGGTGTCAGTAATAAAATTACTACTTCAAGAAAAATCATTATTTACGATATTTTTTTGTTGTCAGAACTTTCAAGAACCATTAGAAACAAAATCAGTTTTTTTAAGAGAGGTGCCACGAAAAATATCAGCAATTTCTAATAAAGGTAAATAGTTCTTTTCTTTGTCTTTTGGCAAAGGAAAATTATAGGGTTTAGTCAGCAGATTATAATCATTCTCCTCAACATCTTTATAATAAATCTTGGTAAATAAAGGAGAATTTGTTTTTTCCTCTATCACTATTTCTTTATAAGCTGAAATCAAAATATCTCAATCATTTATTCCCTCCATTCTATCGCGGTGATTGTTTAAAGTAAAGCCATCGTTTTTAATTTGATAATAATAAAAATAGCCTTTGGTTTTCTTTTTCTTTTCAATAATAATAACTGAACTTTTGCTACCCGTATAAGGTAAAAATACGCCCTTTGGTAAGGAGATAATGGCTTGAATAGAGTAATTTTCAATTATTCATTTTTTAGTGTCTTGGTATTTTTTTATTTTTTGAGTAAAAAATCCCTCAGGCATAATCATTGCTACTCTTCCATTATCTTTACAAGCCATTAGACAATGCTGAATAGCCAAGCAATCCCCATATTTACAACTAATTGGATATAAGTCTCCATAGTCAATATCACTAAAACCAAAGGGAATATTAGTAATTACCAAATCATATTTTTCTTTGAATGGAAATTGAAAACTGTCTCTTCGTTGAATATTATTATGTCCGTCCCCAAACAAAATCATATTCATTTTGGTAATTCGGGCTACATTAGTTATCTCATTACCATAAAAAATATTGCGAAGCACTTTTAGATTTTCGGGGTCTAGTTTTATATTTTCGCTAACATATTTAAAACATTCAATCAGCATTCCACCCGTGCCACAAAAAGGGTCATAAACTTTTTCTTTAAAGCGAGGTTGTAAAATATTTACCAAGTGCCTAACGACATGCCTAGGAGTAAAATATTGCCCTAAATCTTTTTCTCCTGCGTTGTATCTTTGGAGAAAGTATTCAAACGCTTCTCCTTTTACATCTCTTTCGGTTTCTACCAAAGATAAAGGATTAAGTTTAGAAATAATTTTTTCCAAAGTATTAGTGTCTTCAATTTTGCTAACTGAAAACAATTCGCCTTCTTGGTATTTTTTTTGAAAATGTTCTAGTGCTTTATCAATACGACTTTTTAAATTGTCGCCTTTTTCATTTTCCCATGAACTCCATAAATGTCTTTTTTCTACTGTGGATTTTTCCTTGTTTTCTTCTATTTCACTAATTATTTTCAAAAAGAGAACATTAGCAAACTCGCTAAATCTTTCATCGCCAGCTTGTAGTCCTTTTTTTCTTAACAAATCATTAGCCTCCGCAAAAATTTTAATTAGCTCTCTCCGCGACAAAACAACTTTATTTTCTTGGGTAATTAAGTGCGGTTGTTCTATGAACCTTAAAGCTTCTTTTTCAGTAAAAAAATCTTTTACTTCTTCTCCATTAAGAGTTAAAGTTTTTTGGAAGTTAATATGATAAGCCTTGGTAAATTCCCCATTGGTGGCAATAACCAAAGGAGCCTTAATATTTTTAGCATAATTAATTCCTTGTTCTAACGCCTGAGAAATATTTTCACTGGGTCTTTTGGCTTCAATAACAATTAAAGGATTGGTGGTTTCTGATTGGTAAAGAATATAATCTGCTCGCTTACCTTTTAACTTCTTTCTTTGTTCTTCGGTTGCTGGTTGTTGTTTATAAACATTTCTCTTATCGCTATGAATATCATCAATTCAGCCCAATTCTTTCAGTTTTTTATCAATAAAAGTTTCGGTGTCTCTTTCAATAAATTGGGTTCTTTCGTTCATTATTTTGCTCTGCTATAATCCTCCACTGTCAACTTTTTATATTCTTTCATACTTTCTTTGGCTAACTCATTAAAAAGCCTACCCTGTAAAAGATAATCAATTCTTTTTTTTTCCAATGGTTCCAAGTCCTCAATTTTGATATCCTTTATACAGTTAAACAAAGCAATTTTTTTTTCATAAGCATCTTTACGACTTTTGACAATAGCCTCAAATTTTTTAAAGATTTCACTCATGTTAGCCTTATCTGATAAAGCACTACCACAAGCAGGACATTTTTTAGTTTTTGTCATAGCAATTTATATTTTAATTTTAACTTTTTTACGATTTTGCCTAATATTTTACTATCATAATAAATCGTAAAATATAATCGCAAAATTGTAAGTAATTTATAATTGACTAAATAAATTACTTAACCTTTATTTTACTTCGTAAAATAAATATATAGTCTTTATGGATTACCTAGCAAAAATAACCCACGAGCAGAAATTAGAAAATAGCTCATTGTGAAAATATACCTTTTTAGATGTAGAAAATAACCAATCAAACTTATTCTACCATTATGAACCAATTAAATATACTCCTAATTTAGTAGGAAAATTGGAACTTACCAAAGATAACTTTTTATTATCATTCGAACAAGAAATCGCCAATGAAAGCAAAAAGTTTAAGCGGTTAGGGATATTAACCAAATTAGAGGGTAAAATTGGGTGGAGTTATAGAAACTTTGCCAATAGGTATTATCTTAAAAAAATCAACTTATCACCCCAAAAATTACATGAATTACACACCCAAGGCTTCACCTGAAAAAAATTGGCACTTACTTATAGCAAAAATGAGAGAACTATTTATAGATGATTAAAACCTAGTGCTGAACCATTACAAAAAAGAGGAGTTAAACCAATAATAACGGATGAAGTTGCTTCATTGGTTCGCTCTTATGCTTTGGAAAATACCAAGAAAACTCAACAGGAAATAACTGATTATGTTTGTAAAGAGTTAAATATTTCCATTAGTAGACCAAGCATTACCATCTTATTAAAAAAATTGGGTATAACTAGAAAAAAGTTAACTTATCACTATAACCAATTAAACGAAGCAAAGGCAAAAGAGTTTAATGAGAGCATTAAGCCCTTATTAACTGAATACCCCTTTATTGCTATTGATGAATGTAGTTTTTATCCCAATCAAGACCCCCGCTTTGGTTATTCCTTAAAAGGAACAAGAGCAAGGGCAAAAAAACCAAGCAGTCAAGGAAAACACTACACTTTATTATTTGCTATCAGTAATTTAAAAGTAAATGGTGTGGTTCATTGAAAACTAGTTGAAGGCAAGGTTGATTATAAAGTTTTTTATGACTTTTTGGAGGAATTAAAACCAATAGGAAGTAAGAAAAATATTTTGCTAATGGATAATGCTAGAATTCACATTGCCTCTAACAAAAGAAAGGAGAATAATTTGCCTAGCGTTAAAGAGCAGATGGCAAATAAAAATATGGAAGTCCTTTATATTACTCCTTATGCTCCCATGTTAAATCCTGTGGAGTTAGTTTTTTGTTTACTAAGGCAACAGACAGAAAAAAACAGACCTAGGAACTATGAGGAGATGAAAAGTGCTATTGAAAAAGTAGTGGAATTATTAAATACCAAAGATTTAAGAAAATACTTTTGACACTGTGCTAGATATTTTGATAGGAAAGAGAGCAAAATTGAACTAAAAAATACTGACATTTAATTCTAACATTGTAATATAATGCTGATAAATAAAAAAAGCAGCAAAAGTAGTATTAACCAAAACATGTGAAAGAAGGGGGAAAAGCAAATTTCAATTACTAAATCAATAAATAAAAATGAAAAAAAAAGCATAAAAAGCAAGTCAAGGAAAATATCTGCTAAAATTTTCCCACACTCGACAATAAATAAAAATGAAAGTAAAAAAAGAAATAAAACAAGATAATCATAATCTTTTGCCCTTTTTACCAAATATTTTGAAAACCAAATAACGAAAAATGCACTCCTCGATTATTGGCCCAATTAAACAAAGCAATAAGAAATAAAGAACGGGAGAAATATAGTAGGACTTTCTGAGAATCCTATTTCCTGATATTCCAACTCTTTTTTCAATTAGAGCAATTACCCTAATCAAATAAAAACAAATTAAAAATATTCAAGATCACAAATATCTTTTGCAAAAAAATCTCTTAAACCTCACCTCCCTCCTTATATTATTATACTATAATGAATTATAACATGTTACAAACGCTAGGATCATCATTTTTATCATAACCATTATCAATATCGTTCCTTACAACTTTATTAACATTTTTATAATCATTAATGTGTTCGTTAATCGAACTATTGATTCTGTCGACTATGCTTTCTCTTTCTTTTCTACTAAATGGAGCATTACCATACTTAGGATGGTTATCCACTCAATGATCTATCCCCACAAGAATTTCCGATGCTGCCTTACGGGCATCATCTACATTATAAACTGTTCTGCTTCTTCATCCACCGCGAGAATTTTTAAGAATTATTTCAATTTTGAATGTAAGATTATTGCTACAACTGCTATAAGCCCCGTTACAAGGTCCATAACCACCCTTGTTCTCACTTAAATAATTGCTGCCACTTTTATTAATCACCTTGTTTCGGGCGACAACAGATAAAGAAGATTTTTTTATTCCACACTTACTATCTACTTCTAGAACTATTTCAAAAGGTTTTTTATTTTCTATTTGTGTTATTAAATTATTTTTGTATACCATAATTTTTTAAATGTTTATTTTGTATTTTTTGCTACCATTAAGCCAGATAACTCAGCACCTATTACTTTCACTTAATAGTTTTCTAAAACGGGGTGGAAGTTTCTCGCCTAATTTCTAAATAATTCGGATAAGAATTAGCCACATTTTCTAACTGATAAAGCATTAGCCGTAGGCATAATTGGCATTCAAAATTACTATTCAACAAATAAATACCTATTTCAGCCGGCAGGTAAGAGATTTTACAATCATTTTTATAATAAAATTGAAGAAAATTAACCCCGCCATTAGTAATAGCAGAAATAGCTGCACACACTATATCTTGACCTTTTGGAGCAAAATTAGCATGGTCTTTAATGATAATATATTTGAAATTTTTATTTTTATCTAATTTATAGACAATTTTGGTCATGGAAGTACAATTCCCTACCTTTTGGGCTTAATTAAATCAGCAAATTTAAGTTTCTAATGGGAATTTCTGACTTAAATAATAAACTCTGTTTATAACACTTTTTACTATTTTTTGGTTTTGGTAATTTCTTAATAATAAGTCAATAATCGAGGCAATTTTTTGAAATTCCTTAGTTCCCAATCCACGGGTAGTTAGAGCTGGTGAACCAAGTCTAATACCACTACCAACCGAAGGTTTTTCAGTATCATAAGGTATCATTTGCTCATTACAAATAATCCCCACTTTTTCTAATTTTCCTGCTGCTTCTTTACCGGTTAAATTGTAACTAGTCTTAGTATCAATAATTAATAAGTGAGTTTCAGTTCCTCCACTAATTACTTTTGCTTCTTTCTTTAGGAAATAATCGGCCATAATTTTAGTGTTTTCCAATACCTTTTTTTGATATTTTTTAAACTCGGGCTGTGCAGCCTCATAAAAACACTGGGCTTTAGCAGCAATAATATTTTGGGCCGGTCCGCCCTGATTTCCTGGAAAAACGGCTCGGTTAATTAAACTCCCGAATTCTTTTTTGGCTAAAATCACTGCTCCGCGCGGTCCTCGCAATGTTTTATGAGTAGTGAAAGTAACTACATCAGCATAAGGAACTGGATTAGAAAATAATTTAGCAACTACTAAGCCGGCTACATGTGAGATATCGGCCAGCAGGTAGGCACCTGCTTCGTCCGCAATTTTCCGAAATTCGGCAAAATTTACTTGCAAACTATAACTACTATAACCGGCAATAATTAATTTCGGCCGCACTTCAAGGGCTAGTTTTCTTATTTGCTCGTAGTCTAATTTTTGCGTTTCTGGGTCTAGATTATAATAATGAACTTGGTAGAAAAATCCCGAAAAATTAACTTTGGCTCCATGAGTTAAATGTCCGCCTGAGAAAAGATTTAAACTTAATATTTTTTCTCCTGGTTTTAAAAGGGCTAAATAAACGGCTTGATTGGCCTGCGCTCCAGAATGTGGTTGAACATTAGCATACTCCGCCCCGAATATTTTTTTAACTCTGCTTATTGCCAATTCCTCTATCTTATCAATATATTGACAGCCCCGATAATAGCGTTTACCAGGATAACCTTCGGCATATTTAGTCATTAACACCGAACCACTATAAAATAAAACTTTTTTAGAAGGGTAATTTTCACTCGCAATTAGGTTTAGAGTGCTTTTTCGTCGTTTTAGTTCCAATTGATAATAATAGTCAAGAAGCAACTTACTTTTTACCACTATAAAATTAATTATATATAAATATTTAATAGCGAAAAGGGAAGTATGCCGAGTAAAAAATGTAACCACGGAAAGAAAAAATATGCGGGAAAAATAAAAATAGGAGGATGTAAATCAGATAGAGCAAAAACTATTGAAAGTAAAAAATCGAAATATTGTTATAGCCATGGTTGTTCAAGTTGCTACTTCGCAAACCCAAAAACAACTTCCACTTCTTTCGGACAAGGGTGTTGCGAAGGTTGTAGACTAACCCTAGAAAAAAGGAAAGATTCAACCGAACGTACCTTAAAAAACGAGCAATTAGAAAAAGATGCCACAATTAATAGAATACAGGAAAATTATCAATCAATATCCACTGAGGTAAAAAATATTTTTCCAGATTTTTGAGAAAAAGTGGTTAAAAGAGCAAAGGAACAATTGGTACAAGTATTAGGAAAAAGTATTAAAGAAAAAAACTTGTTAGATGCTCGGACATTTTATCAGCAAAGTTGTCGAAGAATTGATAATTCTTCTTCACTAGAAGAACAAGAAAGAGATAAATGAAAAGAAATTTACTATAAGTTGCTGGTAGAACTGTCCCTGTCACTGGACGATTTTTTTGAAGCAGAGAAAAAATTATTAGTAAGTTTGGCTCAGGAATACAAACAAGTCCAAGAACAGAAAGAGAGAGATGCTATTCCAGAGTGTAAAAATTGTGGTTTTCGCCGACAACAACCAACTACTTTTCCAACTGGCTGTGAAGGATGATGCAAAGAATGTATTGAGCAACAAAAACGAAACGAACAAAATCCTGAAATCCCTCTTCCAGATAAACCAAACAACACCCTAACCCAAAACAAAAACCAAATAAAACAAGAATACAATTTAAGTTCAGAAGAATTCAATCTAGTTTTAGAACCTAT